CATGTGCTGTGCCAGTGTGCCTGCACATGCGATGTGACAATAAAAGTGATTTGATTTGATTTGATTTGATAAAAACTTCCTCCCAGCTTTATGATCCAGTTAGAATCCTCTCCATCTGTGACTTCTGCTTTCTCTGCAGCTGAAAGACATGAAAGCGTGTCGGAGAAACAAGTGATGGAAAAAGGAGATGGAAACATGCATGATGTTGAAAGGGTCGGAGCTCTGACTCAGCAGGCCATTATTCCTGTTGTTGTTGTTGTTGTTCTTGCTGTTGTTGTTGCCATTGTTTTTGTGGTACACCGACGAACTTGTCAACATAAGAAGCAACGTCTAGTCAAACTTCCTACTGAGGACGCAGCTGAAGTGTAATGAAGCTGCTACAGAAATGCATCAGTTCTGTTGCTGAAAACAAAAGCACGCTGTTACAGCATGAACACATTTGATTACATTTATTTTTATACAACTTTTAACAAATTATTAGATCATCATCATAAACCGAGAAAAAGCACCCAGCGTTACAAACTGCTTTAATAAGGGCTCTTCAGTGAGTTCTTGACTGATATAATCTCCAAAAGTTGAATCTGTTCATCATAGCGTTTTTGTGGGAGAAAGGTCATTGAGACTGTATATTTTAGCCATGATAATTGTCCCGCATCTTCACAATGAAATGAAAAAAGTTGTTTTATTATTATGTCATGATGCAACCTGATGTTATAATATTTAGAGGGATTGTTGAAGCTCACTGTGAACTAAACTAAACATGAATTAAACGATGCAAACAAATGTGTACTGAATGATAAGTTTGTAACATTGATGAAAGTCAAAACTTTAATATTTTTGTTTAATGCTGCTCAAAATTGTTAGTTCGGTTATAAGAGCTGTTGAATTTTCAGGTAACTGTTGTTTTCGTATCAACACTAAGTTATTGTTTGAAAATATTAAAAAGTCATTCACACTGATGCTGGTTGCCAGATGTGGTGGAAACTGCTCTGTGACAATGAATGTATTTATATTTGGCTTGAAAGATCTGTGAACGTTTGCATTGGTGATTTTGTCTGTCTTTAAATATACATACAAATATACTCATAAAACAGAGCAAACAAAGGAAAATTAAAAAAAAGACAAGAAATAAGAAATGTTATGTACTTTGTGTACTATGCACTATGCCTAATATAACATGTTATTGTTATTAACACACCTGTGTGTAACATATATTTATCATTAAAATACTTAAAAAAAAAAGCTTTTTTGACACATGGTGTGCAAAAAAAATAAATCAAGGAACATTATATTACATATGTCACATTTCCCAGTGCATCTCATCGGCTGTCCCCAACATGTGTCATGAAAGTATCGGGGAAACTTCACACAGTGAGAAGAAGAAACAGTTGGTATTTCCTGTTTCTCACCCCGTGATTTATCAGAAAACCATCACATTATAAATCACTTCTTAAAACATGCCTCTTTTCAGTGGCCGCAGAGTGACAGCTGAGTTTTAAATTGTTTTAAAGTCTTTTCACATAAATGATTTTGTTAACTTTGGTCAGCACTTGCTGTTTTAAAGAACTTTACTAATAAAGTTGGCTTGGTCTATCAAATATGTAAATTAGTTATTTACTCAGGAAGTCTGAGTAAATATTGTTTATATTCCAGCTACAGGCCAGTATTCAACACAGTCACAGATGTGCATCAGTCAGCTTTTTGTTAATATTTATTCCTGCTGGATTCTGAAGTCTGTCTTCACAGCCACATCTTTTCCTCTTTTGTTCATTTCTTTCCCTTCTCTGCATTTAATACTTTAATAATCATGCCGTCACGGTTCCTGGGCCTTTGACACAGCATTTAGCGTTTCTGTTGTGGACTTCTTCATTCTTTTTGGACTTTGAGATGTGGCTTTTTTTTTTTTTTAGTTCAGTCTGTTTGTTCCCTTATGTGTTGTTCTGCTTCTAAGTTTCTCTTATTCCTGTTCTATTCTCACTTTCTGGTGTCTTGCATGCTTGAGTTTAATTCTACATGCCATGTCTCCTTATCCTGAGATTATTATCAACTGTGCTCCCACCTGTTTCCTTTTCCCTCATTACCTGTTGTGTGTATTTAAGCTTTTCAGCAGCCATTCAGCCTTTTTAAAGACAGGAATAATCGTTGTTGCCATTCAATATGGCTTCCACTCCACAGAAAACTGTATGATGTCCGTCATCATCTGGATGATGCGTTCACACGCTCCAACAAACTGAGATTAATTTTGCTCTATTTTAATTCTGCCATTGCTTCCTTCCACGCTCACGCCAGTATAAAAACTTTGTACTCAAGTGGGTTTCCATCAAATATCAGCACGTCTCACACAGGCAAAGCGATAAATGAAAGCTGCTGTGATGTCATTCTGTTTTTGGTTTGTATTGAAAATGCCTTCAGGTGCTTCTTTTTTGACTTGCAGCTTCATAAGTTGCATTAATTCCTGTGAGAGAACTGTTGGTGGTGGTTGTTTTTCATGCACATGAACTCAGTGAAGAAAATCACAAATATCTCCACTTAGCTGAATATTATCTGCCTCTTTCCTTACAGCACCCTAACAGTGAAAATCGATCCTTCCTCTAACAGACTGTAAATGGATCGTTTTCCTTTGAGGTGAAAGGTTTTAGAAACTGCAGGTTGCTGAATCTTTTAAGGCTAGTAATTTATGCCATGTTCCAAGGACTCGCTCATGCTCTGTGGCCGATGATGCAGTTATTTCAGCCGAAAAAACACAGCCTACTCACTTTTCATCAGTCGTTGATCCTGTTCCTGTCACTCACACTTCTCCATCAGAGCAGCTCTCTCAGCTTCTGCTTTGATCCGTGGTGATGCTGCCGAGCCAAGATTTCCAGCTGCCTTTGCAGTCAACGAACCATCTTCAGTACAAGTGTCTGCACCCATCTCAGGTCGGATCTCCTTTTTGGTCGTTACTTATAGAGGTAACAGCCCTCTAGTGTCCAAATGTGTAACAACACAAACTACCAACAAAATACTAAATGAGTCCTATCTGCACAGAGGGAGTTCCAAACTGTCTGTAGTTTCTGTCTGTGCTGCCGCACCTTGACTCATTCTCAGTTTCATTTCTTTTAAGTTTTATTGAGTCTAAAAAAAAAACAAACTGAAAGTGAAAATGTCAAGCATGAATAAAAAGAACAAATATGCAAATCTGACCTTTATATCATTCACAGACAGACTTACCTGACTGCGTGAAGGGATTTTTTTACCTATGAATTTAACTTCAAGGTAAAATTTGTTTCACTTTGACATTTTACAGTGAAAACAATGAATACTTCAGTCTCTGAATTTCAGTCATTCATTCATTGACTTTGTTCAGAGAAGTTTCCCAGAGAAACTTCTCCTCATTGGACCATAGATGCTAATTTATTTCAATATATTTATTTAATATACTTATTTACTGGGTACTTGTGAGCGACAGAGGTGTGATTTCCTTTGAACTTTGAACTTTCCTTTAAATCACTGTCATCTCTGAGTCTCTACCATGCTGTCATGGATGGCTTCTCTCAACGTGCTGCTGTCTTTATGTTTGATTTCTACATCTACCGGTGAGTTAAACCCAGAACTGAAAATAGATTATTACAAATTGTAAGTAATGTTGAATCTGTATCATTCTGAGTAATTTCTTCAACACTTTGAAAGATTATTTCAGGGTTTTTTGTTTTTTTTTTGAGCAGCAAATGTTGCAGTCAAATAGTGCAAAATATAACATTTCCTGTCTTAAAATCACTGTTTAATCACCTTGATGGAGACTTATCTGTTATTACTATACAACACTTAACAATGAGACAATAATTGGCAATAGTACAAACTGTGAGTGGGGTTGTCTCTGTTCAGAGGCTATTTTGAGGATTTGTTCTAAATGAGTGGAGATATTTGATCAGAAAAGTCTCACATTAAGCCCTTGTTGATAAGTGATGAATAGACTTGTTCTTGTTATGCACTAAAATCTTTACATCCAAAATGACTTAGAAAAGATGTCACTTCTTCTCACGAAGTAGAAGTAGTCACCAGGCAGAATTATATTCTATGTTTAAAAAACAAAATAAAGGAAAAAAATTTGTAACACAAATGTATCACAATATATTGTCCTACTGTCCGTCCAAGTTTGTCGCTGCTGTATTACTAAACTAATCTTTGCAGCAACTTTGAAGGTGTTTGTCTTGATGTGTCACACGCTGAATGTTAAAACTTGTTACAGTCTAACCCATTTTCAGACTGAGTCAGGACTTCAGACAGTTTGATATAGTTCAATAGAAGCCCCTCAGCATCTGAAGTGAACATCATGAGATGCAGAAAACTGTGACTGTTACAACCACAGAGCTTTAAAAGAAACAGAAAAGGTCAAGTCAAAGATGAAATGTCGAGACACAACTCAAATAACTGTCCTCTGCTTGGAAGTGGTCTCAGCTTTCCCTCCACAGGCCCACCTGCCTTTAAGGGG